CATGTTTTTATTTATCAGCAAATAACTCTGCAAATAACTTTTTATTTATCAGCAAATAGCACTATTTTTGAGTTAATCAAATTGGCTACATTCCTTGCAAAGTTCAGATTTTAAGCTTTGGAATTAAATCTATTTTCGCGGCAGTAATTTTGAAAAATATGATTAATAATTTTTTCTTGTAGCTTGGTGACCATTGCTTTGTTAATTGATTATGATTTTTTTTTTCACAGGGGTGCCCACTGCCCACTTGCTCCCACCACCAGAGAGAAAGAGAGAGAGAGAGAGAGAGAGAGAGAGAGAGAGAGAGAGAGAGAGAGAGAGAGAGAGAGAGAGAGAGAGAGAGAGAGAGAGAGAGATGTGTGTCCCACCATGTTTTGCCAGATGTGGTGCAATGATTCCCTTTAGGAGTGGATTAATACCGTTTCCGTGGCTTCTTCACCACGCCTGTGTGTTCTGTTTTCATGCACTTTGAGTCAAACCCACGTCAGCCGACCCCTCGTGCCCTTTGTTAGGAATGAAAGTCAGCATAATCATAACTTCATTACCTGCCACCTAGATCTGTCTGACTAGATACATACGTTTTATTTAACAATTTATGTTTTAACATCCATGAGCTGTTGACTCAAAGGAGCTTCTTAAATTGTGGCCTGTAGCTTTTCAAATGGAAATTCTGAATGAAACGGAAATTCAGGGTGGTAAAAAGCCAAAAAGCCTATTTATCCCATTCCAGTTTCAGGTATTTAAAATAAACATACCATGAGATGTTAAAAAGCAGATACACAGGATGGACTCCTAAACTCCTGAGAGAGCCCATTAATCTGAGCGTCACTCTCAACCACTTCAAATCATCAGCTGTGTTTGTTTCAGTGGCCGGAGCTTCACCTCATCAAGACACGTCAGCTTACTTATTTAGCAAAGTCAGGCATGTGCGTGTTAGGCATAAACATTTACATGTATGCATTTGGTAGATGCTTTTATCCAAAGTTTTGATTCCCAGGGAATGCATGAACTGATCAAATGTACACCATGAATGCAATGTAAGTTACCATTATCCTGAATTGAATTCCTGCAAACAAGTGTCTGTGGATCAGGCTAAAGGCCCAGCTTATACTGGCTGTTTGTTAATATCCATGACCATTTCTGAACATCTGATCACACATCTGGTCAGTCAGGGCACTCTCATTTACATATTCTACATGAGACCACTTTATTAAATTAACCCCTTCTCCCACATCCCCCGTTTTGGCAAGTGGGACATAAATGACAAACCCAAAATAAAAAGGTTGCTGCTCATAAGTCATTCTGAATAGACAAATAACCAACATATTTTAGAAAGCAAACACTTGAGAGTTTACAGTTCAAGACTCAGAATTACTCGTGAAATATGACTGCACCTCTGCAGCAGGTGCAGTAGAGCTACAATTAGCATCAAGCTACATAAGAAAATGTATTCGATTAATACTATGCTTTTGCTCAAAACTCACTTTAATCCACCAACGGGTGTCATAACTTCCGACTGCGATCTAATGTGGATTTTAGTCATTTAATGTTGTTGAAATATGTTATGTATGGCCTTTTATAAGCAATCATTTTGCTAATAAAATTGCAAATGTTTCTAGATGTATCTAGATGTTTCCTGCTTAGCATTTATAATAAACAACCATTATTGGTATGAAAATACCCCAAATTGCATAAAAATCACACACAAATCATATACTATAGTAATCATGTGTTTATTAGCTTCTTGTTTCACGTGTATTGCCGTGAATTCCGGCGTATGAATGTTCTGATCTGCAGGTTATTTTCAGTGTTTGATTGACAGCTCCACTGCTGCTACTAAATTAGCATTTACACTACGAATGCTAAGTGTTCTACAGTAAGTAAACAGAGTATACAAAAGGCTCTGCAGAGACAACCATTTGTGTAAAACTAAGTTGAAGAAGCCTTAAAATGTCCCAGTTGGCATTTTGGTGATTATGCATTTATGTAGATGCAGTGTGAGTAGGCTATGAGAAAGACAGGCACTGCCGCCCATATGTTTTAAACATGTCACATGTTTTTGACTCTGTGCTGAGAACAGATGATTAGAAACCAGATATATTTAATGTTCTCATTGCTCAAAAAGGGTGATTCAAACATGGGGCGCTGACAAATATACTGACCAGCTGAGACACATGCAGGCAGACAGACAGGCGGGCAGATGGTCTGGAGCGCAGACTCATGGGGAGAAGCAGGCCTCGGCAACACTTTACAGGGACACAGAAGTGTGAGATCATGGTGGCTTTAGTCAGATCCGACAGACAGGTGACCCAGTAAGGACTTAACTTTGTCAGACAGAAATGGAAAATTGTGCCCGCATGCACTTTTGATGTGATACTGATGGTATCTAGATGTTTTTCTCCTCAGCACTGAGTAACTGTGAGAGAGACAGACATGGAGGTCTATTTCTCTATCTTTCCATGGAGGTAGAGACTCATGAAAAGCCTGCTCTCAGCGTGACTCAAACCAGATGTGTGAAGATCCAAGCACAACAAAGAAACCTGCAAAAACACGATACGCCTGTATTTTGTCTTGCAGCGTGAGTTAATTTCCAATACAAATGGTCATTTCACACACGTACACACACACAAACACACACTTAAAAACATTTGAAAACTGATCTACGTGCAAACAAACCTAACACACCTTTGTTGGTTCAGCGATAATTACGCCCAAGTACTGGCAATTAAACAGGTAAATGTGAACTTAACTGAAGCTTTCATTTAAAACGGGAAATCCAAGTTCACGGACACGCCAGCATTTTTATGAGGCAATAAAACAGTTTGAGGGAACGAACAGAAACCCCTGAGGTTCAAAGTGAGAGCTGCTAAAAGATTTCTTCTCTGGAGTTTCCCCCTCTAGCACGTTCATAAAACATCATTACAGTCGACCTCAATCACGAGAATATGTTTCTTTGAAGCTCAGGCAAACTAACTAACTCTGTTCCAGCTAAATAAACTCCAGACATGCACGCTTTCGAGTTCTGCCAGCTAGTCTGATAAGCACCGTTTCTGGATCATGCTGATACTCTTTAAACATTCAAAGATTAAATGGCCGAGGATTTTCTGTGAACTACATCATAATGTGATCTTTATCCTTAATTTCTTTATTGTTGGCACACTGTATCAACAAATATTCCTGGAGGGTGCAGTTCTAGGAACACATTTCAAGAACCCTAGCTAATTCTACTCCAACAGAGGAGACTGATTCAAACCTGAAACGATCAGGCGCAAAGACTAGACACGTGAAAATTAAGGCAGGATCATGACACTCGACTGTATGAGCGTGTGACCGCAGTGCCAGTGTCTGTTGATAGGCGGTGCTGTTTCACATGCAATCAGATGGCTAAAAATGTGAGAAACAATCGTTCTCTTTATTCTGTCTCTCTCCAAAGCTTTGTGATTGATTGAGAGTGTGTGTTTGTTTCTTCTTAGGCGTCATCATAAACACTTGTAATTTAAAACAGAATTCAAGGCCTGTAACTGCAAACTGTACCCACTGCAAAGGACAATTTACACCATGAAAATTCAGCATGGAAATTCATTATGTGTCAACAAATAAAGGTCAGAATATGTTCTAAAACTCGTTTTAATAGAGGCCTTCTTAGGCTCTATTTACCTATAGTACAAGTTTAAAGCTAAAGCTGTAAGCCTGTCTTTTGTAAGTTGCTTTGAATAAAGTACATAGGCCTACATTTGTTAACACATTATTGGCTCAAAAGCATCCACTGCTTTTTTGTGATAACACATTAATCTGCTTTTTGGTGTACAAAAACAAGCAGATGTTGATTGTCTCACTATGCTCACAACACTTTATTTTGATGGTCCCCTTTAGTCACTGTTGACTATAAGTAACGTTGCACTGTCAACTTATTCCACTATCCATAACCCCTTATTCTACTAACCCTACCCCTACCTCTGCACGCTTTCTAGTATGTCTGAAATGTCTACTAATACTCAACTAATACTCTAATGAGAGTTAGTTGACATGTAGGTACAACGTTACTTATAGTCAACAGAATGTCTAAAAGGGACCATCAAGTGTAACTATATATTTACAGTATATATATATATATATAGTAATGTGGTATTTAATAAACCGTATTGGAGATCATAGATTTTGTTGCCAAATAAGTAGGTTTCTTCAAGCATCTTGGAGACATCACAGTTCTTCTGGATTTAGTCTGTCTCAGTTTTTTCTGTTTCTTCACAGACTCCGATGACAGAGTATGCCGGCTGTTGTCTGACTCCTTGTGCATACAAAAATCTCACTGGATTATAACAATTAATGGATGTTTGGAAATGTAAACTGATATTTCTACTGACACACTAAAGCAAAAGATATAAATAGCTGGCTTAAAACTTAAGTTAACTTTTTGGGGGGGTGAAAATAATAATGTGCCTAATACTTTTGCACAGTTATGTATATACTTTGAAAGTTTTGTAGTTTATTACGACAACATTATAGACCCTCTGACCCTCACTTTTACGGAAGAAAAAGAGTAATTGGCAAAACAGTGCAAATACAATCGGGTTTTAGTACCTTCACTGATTAGACTGCAAACAAGCCTAAAATAGACCACGACTCTTATTTTTAAATGTATATCCTTTACTATTTTTAGATGCTCATTAAAATGGTAAACATCATAATTTATTAACATAAGCAATACATTTAAGGTATTCACTGATTGTGAAAACATTGAGCTGTGTTTTTACTTTGAAACCAGTAGCACTCATGTTTCAACACTGAATTAACCAATAATGTGAGTTTGGGGCGGGACTGTGTGTTTGTCTGACCAATTGAAGACTGCTTGAAAACAGCGGTCATGTTTGGAATACAATAGCTTATAGCATAGCTTATACTCACTGAATACTGTATGGTACTGTATATTACATTTATTACAATAGTGAACTTTAAGTTTAACAGTGGGCATTATTCCACAATAAACAGTACACATGACCTCATCACTTTCCATTTTTAATTCAGCAAGTGGAATGACCAGTAATCAGCTGGGAAATAAATATGGTCATGTTAAAAATTGTTCAAATCAATCAAATAAACAAAGAGATGAAAAATCAATCCATCTCACTGGAATGGGATGATTGAGAGCATTGCATTGTGTAATACAGTGAATACAGTATCCCGCAGAAAATTCACAACCTCAGTATAACATACTACAGTAGCCTGTGTAGTGCAGCAACAGTAAGAGCTATTCCAAACATAGCAGGCATTGTTTGCACTTCCATCAGGTGCCACTGTGATGCAAAAATCTTTAAATTGCACAGCTATTGAAAATACACTCAACACAGATGTACAGTAGAATATTTAATTGTTTTTTTTTTTTTATCAAGAACACAACCAAGTCCCTGCTGACATCAATTTAAGCTTACATTAACCTATAGATTCAAGTTCAAAAGTTTGTCTAGTGGATGCTGGACTGAAAGCAGAAAACACTCACAAATGTTCTTTGTATTTTGCATGAATTCATTATAAACAGTATAAGCATTATAAACAGTTCTGATCACGGCCTTTGAAGGACATTTGCCCTGCAGGTATGGTCTGCAGTGAAAGCCTGTTTTCCTCCGCCGTTATTCCCACAGAATGGAGCCCCCGAGTTTGCTAATTCTCTGAGCCCATGGAGGGCAGCAGATATAGTCAATGCGGGTGTTGGTGAGCTCAGACTAGCGGGAGTACAAATCCCTCAAAGAACTTAAGGCTGGCTGTAGTCCTCCGCTAGGCTGTGGTGGGAACCGAATCAAAGAAAAAGGTGCCTGTAAGGCAGATCAGCCTAGAGCCCAAATTGATTTACACACACACACACACACACACACACACACACACACACACACACACACACACACACACACACACACACAGACAGAGAGAGACAGAGAGAAGGAGGAATGATTTGAGGTAGTAAAATGAACAAAATTTAGCTGCATTTATTTCAACGATAACTGGAGGATACTTTCCGATTAAAGAAGACATGTTGATGTTCGAAACATATTTTAACCTAATTCTGGTTATTTTTCAGATGCTGGACCTTATCACCTAAAACCATAATCGATACAAGACGAAGCAAAGTGTGCTCCTCACAAAGCATTTGAATAAGGCATTTAGACATCAAAACACACAAAACTTTCCCAGACATTTGAATTGCTAGCTGTGCACTTCTTGACGTCTCAAGCCAAATTTCTTGACTTCCCTGCTTTTGCTCTCTGAACACACTGAGAAATCGCCTCAGACCATGTTCCACATCAAAAACAACAGCAGAGAAAGAGCGATTCACCTGCTCCCCTCTCTGCACGTCTAGATTCAGAGTGAATCGCTGAGCCACAACAGGGTTCAGAGATCAGCTTTGAAAATAAGGCCAGGGGTCGCAGTTCGCCGTGGCTCAACACCCTGTGGCAACCGGAATAGTAATGTAGTTGCTGGGATCCGGCCCGGGCCGCTGTGAAGACTTCCAGTGAGGAGAAGCTATTGTTTATGGGCCTCTTGGGCTGGAGCAGAGCAGAGAGGCGATGAGCTCCTCCGGCTCCTCTGTGCTGATGCTGGATTTCTCGGGCTCCTCTTGAGGAGATCAGCATTCCTTTCAGCGTGAACTTTGGCCGTTTACGGTTTCTCACTGTGTCCTGCCCACCAGTGATGAATGTTCATTCTGAGCCAGGCGCCAAGAAGCAGTTTCTGAAGGAAGAAAACAAAGTACATCATGGTTTGCAATACATCTTACTGAGTCTATGGATAATGAAGAACTGCAAATAAAATATACATCATACAGAATGTGAATCACCAACATAAACCAACAGATGACATCAGGAGTCGGGCTGATCTAACACTTCTCTTGCTGTGTAGTGTTTGTGATTTTTAAGTATGGATAGAATAAAGGACCTACAGTACTGCCCCAAATAATCTACAACAGCACTCGAGGAATAATATATCCCACAATCCCACTGTGACAAAGATATTGAAGATATTTTCTCCCAAAGTTGAATTAAATTAACAAACTAGTTACATTTTATTTCGGAGATCGTAACCAAATGCCACTCACCGAGTTAAATATGTGATGAGGACTAGGGATGTGCCTGAAGCTGAAATTACCCTATTCGAAAATAATGCCTTCAAAATGAATACTGAATACTTCTACTGAATAATAGGAAACATTATAATATTAGATCTAAGGTTAGATGGAGTCACTCCTCGTGTTTGCTGGATATCTGGTGAGCAGGGGATATAGTCCAATATTATACATAAACCTCTAAAATCACTATGCAATAATTAGTGTGTGAAGTGAATGAGTGTCAACTCTATGAATGAAATGTGCACAGCATGATCGCAAATCAAAAAGACTCTGTAAGTCTCTCAGATAGCAGAACCTGCCAGGAGTTATTTCAGCTAAGATACTGAATCATACACATTTTCTACTACTTGATATGTCTATTTAAATGTTTTAAACCTTTTACGATATGACACTATATGCTTCTCTGTCTCACTCTCTCCCGGAGCCGGCAAGCATTTTCTAATCTTTATAATTTGTTCAGCTTTGCATTTGTTGCATAAAAGTTGTTTTAGCTATTTTCAACCATTGAATATTTTATTTCAACTTCCATGTTCTATAGCTGTTTTATATAGAGTCCTTTTATATGAGGTTGTGGATGATTGTCCTGACATGTACACAAAATTCCTCTGAAAAATAATAGAGTTTAAATATAAAATATATAAGATAGAGTTGTTTTCCACTTGTTTAACAGTTAGCATTATTGGTGTTAAAAGATATTGGTGTTTAAGATATTATATTTAAAGAAATGTCATAATTATTTTTTTTAAAGTATAATTTTATGAGTTATACAAGGCACATTTATAAACTGAAATGAATGAAGGTAACAGAATTACGTTTGAAAGAGGCTTTTGATGTAATTTGACTAAGCTCCGCCCACTCTTGGTTTTATCCAAATACAGATACAAATATTTGGAGATTTCTACAGATACAGATAGGCTCCGCTACATATACCCTTAATGAGGACAATTGTTGCGTTCTTTGTTTCACATACTTCTTTTTCTCATTTAGGATCATGAACATGTCTGCAAAGTGTTAACACTCTGATGTATTGTGGAAAGTGCATACAAACCTTTTATTACTATTATGATGTTTGCGGGTCAATATGACTCGCATATTTCATGGTTAAAGGCATGCTGCACAGACTATTTTTAATGTATTTTGTTGTGTCAGTTTCTCAACCACCCTCTAAGGTTGTTACATAAGGTATGTATTGAAGACATCATTTAAATTTTTTATGCGTTCATTTAGCTGGCAATCAAACCAATGTGTTGCTGTTGCCTCAGAAAAAGCACACAGAAAAAGTGCTGTTTTGATCACACCTGTTTTGTTTAATATGTATTAAAACTTTTTAACATTTTAGTCACAATACTGTTAATAATATTTATAATTTGTATTGTATTTGTATAATATTTACAATTTGTATAATTTTTAAAACAAAAAATGTTTACAAAATAGTCATATACAGCTTATGTTTTTTTGTAATGTGTGAGAAATACTGTTTTATTTTTGTTTTTCATGGGGTGATTTTTGGATCATTGTATTGAATCCAATAACCCTAACCCTACATAAAAATTGTAGCAGAATTTAACTTACTTTGAGTTTGAACCAGAATTTGAACTTAATACAAGGGATAAGCAATACATCCTGCATTATTCAGTAAGTAGATTGCCAGTATTCCCTTCTGAAAACAAATTGGCTTGCAATCCTGTAGCATAAACAACAATATCGTGGAGTTCCTTTGGAGTTCCTGTGGTGTCATTCCTTTGTGGTCTAGCAAACATTTGTGAGTTTGACACATGTATAAGCTCAGAAAACCAATAGTTACATCATCACAATTAGCTGAAAACAGCACTGGCCACAACAAGGGGTTATGTGACCATGTATTCCATACAGTCACTACGTTCTCAGAGCAGCAGGAGCCAACATTTAATCTAAACCATGTCATCACCATGCCACATATGTACAAATTAAATTACAGCGCACTGCAGTAATTGGTCACGTCGGCATGAGTAAAGGTGAATGTATAGGGTCTCGCAGCAGGGGTTGTGTCCAGCCTGAATGAGTCAGTAGGTGCTGCAATGGTCTCTGTTGAGACTGAGAGGAGCCTGTGGTACAACCACCGGGGTCTGATTTGACCATTACATCTAAACATCATTCAGACTTTCTGCACACATCGCCTAGAAGAGGAGCATCACACACTCATAAATTGTCACTTCATGGATACTTTAATCTAGTCAGTGAAATCCTTCATGTTAACAAGCTAAGACTGCTTATGTGATGTTATGCTAGTGGCCTGAATCAATCAGGCTGGGTCATCTTCTACAAATATAATGAGCATTGACGTGTCAATTTTAAAGAAATCCTTGAAGCTATTATTGTTTTGGAGGCTCCTTATGGTGGAGGAATTCCACAAAAAGAGAGAGCGAATGCCATTTGTAACTAATATAGTAAAATTAACTATAAATAAAAGATGTAATCCAAAAAGTACCCTTTATCATATTCAAAAGTCCTCATTAGGCATTCAAGCCAAGTCTCGTTTCCTCTCCAAATGCAATTAAGTGTGAGCCTTTAAGGATAAAGTAAGCTTGTTAATAAGTTCACAGAGTAATGAAAAACAGCCTTTTCTTTATTGCTGAAGTGAGAATATTGAATCTAATAACAGGGCTGTGAAACATCAGCGACTCTGAGCAGTGCACCTGCCAACTTCTTGGGGTTAAAAATGGAGCCATGTGTTTTTCTCATTACACATGGAAACCTCAGCCCAGACATCAGGGATCTTCACGACAAATAAACAGACATGATTAAATATCATAGCGTAGCGATGTTGACTATATGGCTGTTCATGCGAAGTTTAAATACTGTCAACGGGAAAAGTCCTCGCATTGAGATGGCGAAAGGAAAAGTTATTTAGGGAATTTTAAGCTGTAGAAATGTTAAGCCAAAAAAAGGTCCATGTAAACTTATCAACATATACCTTGGGGAAAGTTAGGGTTAGGATTTTCCAAGATTAATGAAACATGGTAAAAACGGACATGATTACAATCTGAGGACACAACAAAATCAAGGAAGCTACAGCTACAGCTAAATCTACATATACAGCTTCATCTACAGTTACATCTACATCTACATCTACATCTACAGCTACTGCTACATCTACAGCTACTGCTACAGCTACATCTACAGCTACAGCTACAGCTACTGCTACATCTACAGCTACTGTTACATCTACAGCTAAATCTACTTCTACAGCTACATCTACAGCTACTGCTACATCTACATATACAGCTACATCTACAGTTACATCTACATCTACATCTACATCTACAGCTACTGCTACATCTACAGCTACTGCTACAGCTACATCTACAGCTACTGCTACATCTACAGCTACTGTTACATCTACAGCTACATCTACAGCTAAATCTACTTCTACAGCTACATCTACTGCTACATCTACATATACAGCTACATCTACATATACACTCACCTAAAGGATTATTAGGAACACCTGTTCAATTTCTCATTGATGCAATTATCTAATCAACCAATCACATGGCAGTTGCTTCAATGCATTTAGGGGTGTGGTCCTGGTCAAGACAATCTCCTGAACTCCAAACTGAATGTCAGAATGGGAAAGAAAGGTGATTTAAGCAATTTTGAGCGTGGCATGGTTGTTGTTGCCAGACGGGCCGGTCTGAGTATTTCACAATCTGCTCAGTTACTGGGATTTTCACGCACAACCATTTCTAGGGTTTACAAAGAATGGTGTGAAAAGGGAAAAACATCCAGTATGCGGCAGTCCTGTGGGCAAAAATGCCTTGTTGATGCTAGAGGTCAGAGGAGAATGGGCCGACTGATTCAAGCTGATAGAAGAGCAACTTTGACTGAAATAACCACTCGTTGCAACAGAGGTATGCAGCAAAGCATTTGTGAAGCCACAACACGCACAACCTTGAGGCGGATGGGCTACAACAGCAGAAGACCCCACCGGGTACCACTCATCTCCACTACAAATAGGAAAAAGAGGCTACAATTTGCAAGAGCTCACAAAAATTGGACAGTTGAAGACTGGAAAAATGTTGCCTGGTCTGATGAGTCTCGATTTCTGTTGAGACATTCAGATGGTAGAGTCAGAATTTGGCGTAAACAGAATGAGAACATTGATCCATCATGCCTTGTTACCACTGTGCAGGCTGGTGGTGGTGGTGTTATGTTGTGGGGGATGTTTTCTTGGCACACTTTAGGCCCCTTAGTGCCAATTGGGCATCGTTTAAATGCCACGGCCTACCTGAGCATTGTTTCTGACCATGTCCATCCCTTTATGGCCACCATGTACCCATCCTCTGATGGCTACTTCCAGCAGGATAATGCACCATGTCACAAAGCTCGAATCATTTCAAATTGGTTTCTTGAACATGACAAGGAGTTCACTGGACTAAAATGGCCCCACAGAACACCAGATCTCAACCCAATAGAGCATCTTTGGGATGTGGTGGAACGGGAGCTTCTTGCCCTGGATGTGCATCCCACAAATCTCCATCAACTGCAAGATGCTATCCTATCAATATGGGCCAACATTTCTAAAGAATGCTTTCAGCACCTTGTTGAATCAATGCCACGTAGAATT